TGCCCAGGCGGGTCTCGAACCCACGGGCTCAGGCAATCCACTCACCTCAGCCTCCCAAGCACTGGGACTACAGGCTGAGCCACTGAGCTCGGCTCACAACTTTCATCCTATCCTGCAGCACCACACACACACACGTCGGAAGGCAAAGTTTCACTGAATAGCTGGACTAATATGGAATTGCTATTTTCTAGTTATTTCATTAAAGAAATGCTGCTCAATAAACCAACTTAACGGTCCACTGTAGGCTATGACGTGTGTCAGCCCTGCTTGTGTCTGCACGGGGTGGAGGCATGGGGTGGCAGGGCATGTCCACCACAGCCCACACTCATGCCAGCAGCTTCCTGTTCACACACATGCCACTGGCAGCCCTTAAGGTGTCTGCTCAACTGACTGGGCACAGGAGGAGCCCATTGTCATTTTAACTTGCGTCCCTGACTCATGAGGCTAGAGTTGCTCAGTTTCCTCTTCTTTGAATCACCTCTTTATGCTTTTTTGTCTGCTGGATTGTCTTCCGATTGATGTGACTCCACTCCCGTCAAGTCCCAAACTTCTCCGCAGGAACCTGTGCTGACCCTACTTCCCCACCAGCCCTGGCCCCTCAACTCTCCAGCGAAATGTTCTCACCAAGGTCTCCAATGAACACCTAGTTTCCTTTTATTTTGTAGAGACAAAGTCTGACTATGCTGCCCCTACTGGATCTGAACTCCAGGCCTCAGGTGGTTCTCCTGTCTTGGCCTCCCAAAGTGCTGGGATGACAGGTGTGAGCTGCCGTGCCCGGCCCCTAGTTTCTGGATCTGATGGAAATGTCCCATCTTCCTGTGCCCAAGCAGCCCAGTCTCCACTGCCTTCTCGGGCTCTAACCCAGCTCTCTCGGAGGCCTGTCCTGGCTCTTCTGTATCAGTTCCAAGGGCCAGAAGCCTGTCTCCTCTAGTGCCCCCACCACCTGCTGCCTCCATCTGTGCCCTCAATGCCCCTCGCAGTCCACTGCAGCTTCTGTCTGGGGCCTTACCCCTGTCATCTGTCCCCCCACAGCAGTTGCTGCAAAGGTGACTCCACAGTCACGATCCCCAGGGGTGCTCCAAGCCCAAGTGAGGATTCCATTTTGAAAGACTCCAGTCGTGAGACGTCACAGACATCAGACTGCACCAGACACTTCAGGCTCTCTCTCGACTCTTCCTTCTGCTGGGAGCCCCTGTGCTGCCCCCCTGCGTGGGTATCCCAGCCAGGAAGGCTGTGTGACCCTCTCTCCTGCCTCCAACTTTCCTCGCTGACCACCTGCTCCATGTGCAGGAACTGCACGTGCCCCACAGACATGGAAAGACAACTACACAGTCCTCACCAAAGATGTATCCCCGCACAGCGCCCTCAGCCAGTTTCTGATCAGTCTTGTCATAGGCCATGGTTAGTGAAGGGCTCAGTGGGTGCAGGAAGATTCAGAGTTCCCAGCTCTCTTGGGGAAAATGCAGATGCAGGCATGGGCAAAGTGTATTTTGTAAAGGGAAAAATTCTATGGACTTCCAAAGAAGCACAAAAATCTCCATCACAAAAGCTTGAAGGTGATCTGAAGTGACCACCAGGGGGCAATCCACTGGTCATGTAGCCACAGACCAAAAATCTCAGCAGCCCAGTTACACGGATCTTACTGTCTCCTCAGGCCACAGAGAAACACGAGTGCATATCATATGCTTCTAGGTCAGAAGTGAGAGTGAGCTCCTTGTTCTCTCTGCAAAACCTGGCGTCTTCTGTCCTCTGGGTGGATCGTTGTGACAGGTAGTCCCATCAGCCCCCAGAACCCCATCCCGTAAAAACCACATGCAAATTTCAGTATATAGAACACACATGGTTTTATGTCTTATATAAAACTTACAGTCAGATTGCTAGTGTACTTTAGGCTGTATACCTTTTGAAATGTAAGCTGGGTGTGGTGTGGGCCTGTAGTCCTGGCTACCCGGGAGGCTGAGGTAGGAGGATTGCTTAAATACAGGAGTTCAATGCTGCAGTGAGCTACAATTGCACCACTGCACTCCAGCCTGGGCAACAGGCTGTCTCTAAAATTAAATTAAAAAATAAAAATAAAAAACAATCCCTTTGAAATAGAGTGCTGTGGAGCTTTGGTCCCAGCTCCCCTATCTTAGGGAGGTGAATTTCCTTCCTTTCTCTCTCTCTCTTTCTCTCGCTCTCTAATTTACATTCTAAGTAAACAATATTTTCAAATCTAAAAAAGAAAAGAAAAGAAAAGAAATAGAGTGTTGTGAAACAAATTTTCAAAAAAAAATCTCAGTACTTTGGGAGACGGAGGCGAGAAGATTGCCTGAGCCCAGGGGCTGAAGACCAGCCTGGGCAACTTAGTGAGACCTCATCTCTATAATAAATAAAAACATTAGCTGGGCATGGTGGTATGCACCTGTAGTTCCAGCTACTTGGAAGGCTGAAGCTGGATTGCCTGAGCCCAGCAGGTCTAGGCTGTGGTGGCTGTGAGTGTGCCCCTGCACTTCAGCCTGGGCGACAGGGTTGACTCCAACTCAAAAAATAAAATAAAAGAATAATAAAATGCTGAGTGTATTCACAGAAGTGAACTAATGTTAATTTCCTGACAACCCCTGACGTTAGTGCTATGTGCAATAAGTAGTCACATAGTTTTGAGAGGCCATTTCTGATTTATTGTAGAGACGAAGTCTCACCACGTTGCTCAGGCTGGTCTCGAACCCCTGAGCCCAAAGTGCTGGGATTATAGGCATAAGCTACTGCGCCCAGCTCAAGAGGTCATTTCTTATAGGAATGAACCAAAGACATAAGTCATTAACACCTGCTTTGGGTGAAGCAAGTCCTATGCAGTGTCAAGAGCCCCAGGATCCAGCGGCTAGCCCACAACACTGCACTGACCACTTCTGGGAGGTGAAGGCTGGGTGGTGATTGCTCTGCAGAAGGACCCAATGCTCAGAGCCTACATGCTACATCCAGTGCCGAAGGATCCTTCTGTGACCTGGTCCAGCCTCCCTGGGAGAGCCCTAGCTGCCTTGCCTTGGGAAGCCGTGGCTTCCTTCCCTCCCAGGTCAACCAGCTTGCTGGCAAGAATGCTAGTTGCCTGCTGACCCTAGGAACTGCTGTCATGTGCCATGGTGACAGAGGTAGGTTCCGGAACCAGCCTGCTTAGGTCCCAATCCCATTTCCACCACAGGTGCAGGATGCTTCAGAGCGGTATCTGACACAGGTGCCACCTGGAACAACAGCCACCATGGGACTGGACTGTATCTTCATGCCCTGTGGGACTCTGGTTTTTATCCAGGCCACAGGTTCCTCTATGGGGGAGAACAAAGTGCTGATGGCCCGGGCATCTGGCCACGAAGATGCCACCTCAGAGCCCACGTGCACACAGCATGGCGTACCCCTCATCTGCCAAAGGATACAGGATGTGGGAGTCCAGGTGATTCAGCGAGGCCCAGCACACAGAGTTCACCTGCGGGGAAGCAGATGTGACAGGCGCTCACAGCCACCGGGGAGAACCAAGTACTTCCTAGGAGGGACTCTGGCTGCAGATGGGTGACCTCCCTTCACTGGGGCTGAGCTACATCCAGGGAAGGTGTCCCCACCCCACCCTGAGTGCAGGCCTCAGTCCCCAGGGGCAGTGCTGATCCCAGGTCTGAAGGCCCACCTCCCTCCTCCCTGACACCAGTCCCCCTTGCCCACATCCCAAGGATGGCAGACACAGCCATCATGCCAGTGTGAAGCTGAAGCTGTGGGCTGGCCACAGGATGCACGTCCTCATGCATGGGCAGGGCCCTGCCCAGGTCATGGGTACTGTGTTTGTGTCCCATGGGTACTGTGTTTGTGTCTCCTGGGTGTGGGAGCCTTTGGATCAACTCTCGGCCCGGGGAGAAGATCCTTCTGATCAGCTGCAGAAACTCTGCCTCAACCTCCCCTATCAGCTATTTCACTTCCTCTCCCAAGACAAGAAACTCCTGGGCCCTTTCCTTCCCCAATTCCAGTTCTCAGGAACTAAAAATCCCTTTGTCTGGTGGAAAAATGAGGTGACTGTGCTCTGCCTTCTTCTGAAAGTGCCTTCCTGGCCTGTGTGAATCCCTTGCTGTCCCAAGGCACTGTGGCTATAGGCTCTGGTCAGGCGCACCTTGCGGTTGGTGAAGTAGAGGTTCTCATGCACGAACACCTGGGGCGCGGGGGTCTCCAGGCTCTGCAGGCTGATGATGCCGTACTTGGAGCCCCCGACGCTAACGTCGTTCACAGTGAAGAGCCGGTCGCTGTTGGTGTCCGCCTGGGGGGGACGTGGGCAGTGGTGAGCCCTGGGCTGAGCCAGGTGGACTGCCTGGGACCCCTGCCTGCTCCTCCCGGCCCCAGGCCCTTGGTCTTCATGAGGTGAGCACTCCTGTCCATGAGGTATGTGGGGATGACCTTACTGTTCCTACTCAGTGCTGCCATTCTGGCAGGGCTGCAGGCATCAAGTCTAAATTCAGGGGCAGGGAGGGCAGAAGTGAGAGGCCAGGGAAGCCAGGCTGAGCTGGGTGTAGGGGTCTCACATCCACCCAGGGCGGGGGGGGATGTGTCATGTGCCATCACGAAAGCAGACAAGATGAAAGATGCCAGTCCCTACTACAAGATGTGTTTAGTAATTATTTCAAAGTGAAAATCCGTATGTTTACATGTTTTGTGTAATACACACGTGGGCCTGGAGGCTGGTGAAACTGTGCCAACTCTGCATGTTTATCAGGAAGATCAGTAAGTTCTGGAAGAATCATCACCAAGGACTAGAATTAGACCTGAAAACTGCTCTCTGGAGTCAGGAGTCAACTGGGTAATGGGGCTGTGCTCATGGGCCATGTGTGGTGACGTGATACCGGCTTCTACATACCTGCTGCCTCTACCCCCTCCCACTCACCAGGAAGGGGTCCTGAGGGGAGCCTGCCATGAGAAAATACTCCCCTGACTCAGTCAGACTGTGCCTCAAACACATGGAGAGCAAAGCCACAGCCTCATGCCCCGCTGCTGGGTCTGGGCAGGAGGACCTAGCATCAGGTTCCGTGTGTGCTCCACTCTTCTCTCCTCAGTTTTCCCTGGGCCTGTAGGAAGGGCAGGGCTTGCCAGGAGCCTGTGGCCTTGTGTGGCCCAAGAGCCGAAGCCGGGCCTGCCGTGTACCCCCAGGTCTCTCAACATGCCCAGGGCTCAGGCTCACCCGCTGGCCACGTCCAGCTTGGGTCCACTCCCTGCAGCAATGCGGTGGGGCATGCTGATGCAGCCCTGTGACACTGGCCTGAGGCCCTGCCACAGAGGTCAGGTGGCAGGCAGGGGAGATGGCCCCACTGAGGGCCACCAAACCCCATGGGTCAGAGGGGCCAGAGGTTCTGTCCTTCAAGTGTGTGTGTACAATCACAGCCAGTGAGACACCGCTTCCTGATGCTTCCCAGCCGAGGTGTCTGCATCATGAGGCAGCTCTGAAGGAGTGGCCACTACCACATGCGGCGCTGCTACTGGGGTCCCTGTGCCACCGCCAGGCAGGTAAGGCTTGAGAACCAGGACGACGCAGCTGCCCCCATGCTGCCAGGCCTGACGACTACCCCATGTGTGGCACCCTCACTCACCAGGATGAGGTTGAAGCGGTCGCTTGCCAGGGCTGAGGCATCCAGGCTCCGGATCTGGACCTTCCTTCTCTCCATGCAGCTCAGACGCAGTTCATGGGCCAGGCTGCAGGGCGGGCAAGTGCTGCGGTTGGGTGAGGAGGCCACGCCTCTGCCCTTCCCGATGAACTCCCAACCCATCTCCATACGGTCTTGCATGGAAGTTCCCAGAATGTTCAGGAACATGAAGCAAAGAGCCACGCAGTCATAGAACCACCAGGTATCAGGTTCAAGACTCTGTATCTACATCATCAGGCAGTTCCCGTGACAAGAAGCAGTGGGGACCCCTTAGGCTGAGGCTACCAGCACCCACCTTTCTGCCCGCCACAGCCTGGCTCCCTTCCGGCCAGGAACAGGCCTTTCTGGCTAGGCTTTCTTTCCTTCCACCTCGGGAGGGAGCAGGAGAGGCCTGCCCTGCCTAGCACCCCACGAAGCGGTTTTCCCAGGAGGGCCCTGCTTCCAGGTGAGGGCTGTGCCCTCCAGAAGCCATGGATGCAGGGTGAGGAACTCAGTCAGTTCCCACCTCCTAGCTTTACTTCGAGCAAATCACTGCTTTTAGACCCTCAGTCTCTTCAGGAAATGAGGGGGATGTAGTGACCTATCTCACAGCTAGAATTGTACCAGCCTCACAAGTACTTGACCAGGTGTAGTACACATATCCATTTTGTGCTCTGTTGCTGGTGATGGAGCACGGTGGAAGGAGAGAATGGGGTAGAAATCTCATGGGAATGCAGTTGAGGCATTCTCCTGAAGCTGACTTGCAAGTGACAGGAAGTCCCTAAGTAGTTTCTGCCTGAGTCCCAGCCTCTCTCCCTACCCTCCTGCAAGAGGCTCCTCCCTCATTCTAGAGACAGCGTATTCCCAGGACTGGGTTAAGGGAAGGCAGGCGGTGAACCCGGGCCCCTCAGCTGTGAAGCTGCTCAGGTAGCCCAGGTCTGCCCTGATTGGATTCTCAGACTACGGAAGTAAGAGCCAGGAGAAGAACATTCATGAAGAAAAACCAGTTGGCCCGGTCTTACCGGCAGTAATGAGTGGCGCTGAGAAAGCCCAGCTGGCTTTTCCGCAGCATGGAAGAGGCGTTAAAGCCCACCCTGGCTATCTAGGGTTATAAAGGAAAGAAAAACACAGAGAAAGCTTGTTTAAGTCACGGGCCACGGAGAATGTCTTAGTTCCACAGGACTTGCAAGAACACAGATGCCGCTCGGCAGAAAGCACGCACAACTGTCTGCTGGTGTCCTGGGCAGGGGGTCCTGGGGCACCTTGCCCGCTCCCATCCGGATCCACGGGTCACAGCCCAAGTGCATCCCTGGACTGGAGGTGAGAATCTGTGGTGGACTCTCCAAGCCGCTCCTGCCCGCAACAGCCAGCCCTGCCTGCAACGAGGGTCCCAATCCACCAGGTCTCCTTAAAGCAGACAGAGGGCCAGGCACAGTGGCTCAAACCTGTAATCCCAGCACTTCAGGAGGTCGAAGTGAGAGGACTGCCTGAGCCCACGGGTTCGAGAACAGCCTGGGCAACTTGGCAAGACCTAATCTCTACAATAAATCAAAAATTTAGCTGGGCGTGATAGTGCATGCCTGTAGTTTCGGCTACTTGGAAGGCTGAGGTAGAAGGATCGCCTGAACCCAGCAGGTCGATGCTGGGGTGGCTGTGAGTGTGGCACCGCACTCCAACCTGGGTGACAGAGTAAGACTCCAACTCAAAAAAAAATAAAAAGACTGACCTCGATTGTGCCCGTGACTCCCCAGGCCCCCAGGTGGATAAAGCACAGCCGTGGGGCTCATGTCCCGCTGCCACCCGGCACCCCTGGGCTGCAGGGACGGCCAGGCCCGGAGCCCACCTTCCTCAGCCTGTCCTCAGCCTTGAGCAGCTGCAGCCTCTGGCACTCGGTCTCCCTCTGTCGAATGCCCTCCTTTGTGAGTGGGTTGCAGTTGTTGTGTCCAGGCAGCAGGCGGAAGTAGCGCTGCTTCTCAGGGTCGAAGTAGTACCCGGGCAGGTCTTAGTAAAAGGACAGTTGCTGCCTAAAACACTGACCTGGATGTGTCTAAGGTGCCCGTCTGTGCCCTCCCACCTCGCCTCCCACCCTGAGGGCCGGGCTGGGCTCGGTCAGGCACTGCCCTGGACGGCACCCCATCTTGGGGAGACCACTGACTCACAACACCATTCCTGACATGCAGCCCCTTCCCTGTGTGTCTCTACTTGCTCTGGAGCCCCTTAGGAATAGGCAGGTACTGGTGATGTCAGGAGGGTGGAGAGCCCTGGTGGAGACAGGATGGGCCTCACCTTCGCCTAGACAGGGCCTCACCTGGCACAGAGGAGCTGCCAGTGGCGCCGGCCGAAGTTGATGGAGACTCACCATGGCCATGGCTGGGGTCCTGAGTGCTCTGTGGTGCCCCTGGGCTGCACCTGTGGATGCAACTGTGTGACCTGCAGCTCAGTGCTGGGCACCAAGGTATTCTGACCAGGTACTATTCGGGCAGCTCCACAGCACCCCCATCCTTGACATATGGTCACTGGGGAGCACTGACCCCACTGCACACACACATGAGGGCAAGGCCTGGGCTCACATCCTGCCCTTTCTTGCAGGAGGATACATGTCACAGTTACTCCCTCTTCTGAGCTCCTCACTGAAGCATTCTTGAAGTCTCTTGGAATTTTCAGATAAAAAGGAGACCAGAACTCTCTGTCTACAAAAGCTTCACTGGCTGGGCTCACCCGCCAGCTCAGCAGCAGTCCAAGGTTTCAATCTTAGGGAGCTTGGGCTTTACTTGACGACACGGCCTTGGCCAACACGCCATGTGTCACCCACAGTGGCTGAAGGATACAGCGACAAAGTCAGACCTTATTTTAGAAAACTGATAAAATTCACTTGAAAAGCAAGAACTCCCCCCACACCAAAAGACTGCAGACTGCACCACTAACTAGGTGGAAGGAGCAGGGCCACGAGTCAGACAAGTGTTAGTTTCTGGTCCTGGAGACGGCCGCCCACCACAGGCCCAGCTTGCCTCTCCTCCACCTCATGCTGCCATGCGACGTGGGAAGGCCTGGACCCACAGAGTCCCCACAGCTTTCCTCACATGCACACATCCTGGACGGTCAGGTTTGGAAATCTATCCCCATGAGACCCAAGTGGGGAGAGCCTGTCCATACCTCGCTCCATGAGGCTTCAGCAGCCTGTTTTGCACAAGAATCAGTGGCTCAGAGTGAGCAGCGTGCAAGTCTCACGCAGAAAGGCAGTACCCAGTCCAGCCCTCCTGACTCAAGCCCTCATCCTACATGACCTCAGCACGCCTGTGACTGACGGGGCCTGAGTTCCAGGAACCTTTTATTTGTGCCACCTTCTGCCCTATCTGTGCTGGGGAAGGTGTGGCGTGGAGGAGTCTCTGGAAACAAGTACTGCATCCCCTCTGGTGAGGAGGGAGTTTGTGGACAGGCTGTGCAGAGCCCCCATGGCAGCCACAGCAGGCTTGCGTGCAGGCGTCTCCTGAGTCTGTCTTATTCTAAGAGAGCTCGGCTGTGCTTCCTTCACCCAGAAACTAACAAGGGTGTGAGGACTGTCTGCACCGGGATGTCAACTGAGCTTATTCTAGGGTTGTTTCTGGGCTGGTAGTGGGAGCAGTGTTCACTGTTTTACTCTGTATTAAACACACATTTACAGATATACACTACACGTAAGTATTTATCATGGAAATGTGTTAAGTATATATAAACAAGCATGAATGTTCACAGTTATGTGCCACATAACAAGTCCACGACAGGGTACAGGGAGCTAGAGCACCCACTGCCTGTGGCCATTGCACACCAGTGCTTTATTTTAAAAAGAGTCCAGCATGCCTGCGTGTGCCTTCCTTACAGAATACATGGGGACGCACCAGGCCTCCATGCTTTCCCACATAGATGCCTCCCCAGAGCACCACCAGCACAGCCCTGCATTGGGGAGCCCTAGAAGGGGCCATGGCTGTCCTTCTTGCTGTCTCTGACTGTACCTTCTCTGTAGCTGTAGATGCAGGGATGTCCCACTGTGCCACCTCTGCCTACAATGCTCAGAGGTTATGTACCCCCAAGCAGTTGAGTGTGTGGGCCACACCTTCCAGAACTGCAGGTGTACACCTGATGGCCTCACACCGCATATCTCAGAACACATCCCCATCGCCAAGGGACTCATGACCCTTTCCCAGGGTTTAGGCTGAACTAATGAAATTAGGTTTCTGCAAAGGTGTTCTCATGGGCCAAGACAGAAGTCCATGGTGTGTGAAGGGCTTGCTGGCTAAATTGGAGCCCCAGCCACTCCCCACCCCGCATGCTGGGGGTTCTCAGCTCAAGCTCGCCTCCTGATACACCCTGCACCCCTCAGGTCTCAGCCTACTTACCCCTCATGAGAGTCACGCGGTTGGAAGCGAGGCCTCTGTTGGCGGTGTCTCCCATGGCACCTCCGGCCCTGGTTCATGTCGGCACCTGGAGAAGGAATGAGAGAATGGCACATGTCTAGTGTGCTCTGCTGTGGCTCTGGATAGCCACTGCATGTAGAGTAGGCAAGAGGAGGCCACCAGGCTGTCTTTGCATGTGTCATCAGGTCTCCAGTCAGACTGCCTCCAATATCGCCCCACATCCTCCCAAGTCCCTTCCGGCCAGCCCTAGGAGCCACAGGACATGCTTTAATTGTATAATAATGGGTGGATACATGGGGAGCAGTCCTTTGGGTCACCCGGGAGGCAGGACCCTGCCCACCTAAGGCACCATCCCTGCAGGGGGCCGGTAGATGGAGGCATTGAGTGCTGACTGCAGCCAGGGAGGACACTCCTACCCAGCTCCCCTGGCAAATGGTTCTGGCGATACACTAAAACCAAGCAAAGTCACATCCTAGAGGCCTTCCCAGCCCAGAGAAGGTGGGTCTAAGCTGAAGACGGTCCCTTCTTAGCACAAAGAGGATGGGACTAGAATGGAGACGGTCCCTTCCTAGGAGAGGGGTAAGACTAGGATGGAGATGGTCTTTTCCCAGGAGAGAGGGTGAGATTAGAGAGGAGATGTCCCTTCCCAGCACTCTCAAGAGGCCTGCTGTGGGGTGAGGATGCCATACAAGCACCAACACATCCCTTGTTGTCCACGCCTATCCCTAACCAGGTGTGGGGCAAATCCCACAGTCTAGGCACTGTACCCTCCAGTCCACTCCCAGTGCCCATAACCCCCTGGTGTCTGGGACTGTTGTGATTATGTAAGCAGAACAACACCCAACTGCCCCTCCAGGTCTAGGAGTGGCCTCTGCTGGGGGCCCTCACTTCCACCCAACACATTCTGGCAGAGGGCTGGGGGCAGCAGGACAGCTGTGGTCCCAGCCTCAAGGTGCTGACTGTCCAGAGTGGGACTGACTCCTGTGGTGCAGGCTGCAAGTGGGGACCTGCAGACAGGGATGACTGCCCTGTATGGGAGGGTCTGAAGGACAGAGAGCTGTAGATGTGGGCAAGGTTGGGTGAGAAGTATAATACGACTAGGCCGGCTGGGAAGGGGCACCGAGGCAGCAGCAGGTAGAAGGTGGCTGTGGGCGTGGCACCCAGAGGGAGCCTGAACTTAGACCCAGAGGTAAGTTTCATAGGATAGATGGGGACAGGAGCTGAGGACAAGCAGGGCTGTGAGCAGGGTGTCCGAGTACAACTAGTAAAGGAGAGCACTGTGGCGAGAAGAGAAAGGAAGTCTGCTTTGGACAAACCCACCTCCAGAGACCAGCTGGGGTCTGGGTTTCAGAAGGCCCCGGCTGAAGGGAGAGAGCTGAAAGTCACCAGCATGTGATGATAGATAGGGACATACATGGTGTGAATGTGCATTCCAAGTTAGACCACTTTATCTGGGATCAGTAACACCCAGCACAAACCAGCTATAGGTCAGTGCCTCTTAACCAGGACAGCTTTGCCTATCAGGGGACATCTCGCCTGTCTGGAGACATTTCTGTTTGTTTCAACTTGGGAGAAAAAGGGGCAGGCTGCCACTGCAGGTAAGAGTCAGGGATGCTGCTGACTGTGCTCCCATGCAATCTCTGTAGTACATAATTTTTCAGAGCCAGGCGTGGTGGTACCACATCCACATTCCCAGCAACGCAAGTGACTAATGGGAGGATCGCTGAGGTCAGGAGTTCAAGACCAGACTAGGCAACATAGTGAGATCCCCATCTCAAACAAATAAAAAGAAATTAGTTGGCCCCAAATAGTGCTGAGGGAAGCGCTCCTAGCACCCTGCTGGGTGAAATGCCACAGCAGCAGTTATATGCTCTTAGACCCAGAGGTGAGGCATCCAAACCAGATATGCTGCAGGGGGCAGCTTGGCTTTGCCTTTTGGAGACTCTCCTCAGTGCGTAAAGATCCATCCATCCATCTCTTCATCCTTCCATCCCATCCATCTATCCCTTGAGTTAGGGTGTCACTGTCACCCAGGCTAAAGGCACAGTCACAGCTCACTGCAGCCTTGACCTCCCCAGGCTCAGGCAATCCTCCTGAGTTGCTGAGACTACGGGTATGTGCTACCACATCCGGCTAACTTTTTTATTTTTTGTAGAGACAAGGTCTTGCTATGTTGCCCAGGCTGGTCTCGAACTCCTGGGTCTCAAGGAGTCCTCCCACCTTGGGCTCCTAAAGTGCTGGGATTACAGGCATGAGCCACTGTGCCTGGCCAAGAAGAATAATTTCTAGGAGATCACCATACCGCAAAGACAATGTTATTCTCAAACAACAAATAAACACAATTTCGTTTTTTGGAATATGGGCACTATTTATCATTATGTACATGCCTTCTTTCTTCTGGGAATTGAGCTTGAGAAAACAACTCAAAAGACTGTAAAAGTTATATCCATATTTACTACAACTTTCCAAATCATTTTGTAAGGCCGGTATTACCCTGTCACCAAAACCAGACAGAGACATCAGAAGGAAACTACAGTCAATACACACAGACATCCCCAACTAAGTGCTAGCAAGCCCGATCCAGGGGCACAGAGAAAAGATCACACACCACAGCCAGGTGGGACCTATCTCAGGAATATAAAGTTGGCTCAACACATGGAAGTCAATCAATGTGATGCACCACATTAAGACAACAGGTGAGCCGGGCTCGGTGGCTCAGCCTGTAATCCCACGCCTTTGGGAGGCTGAGGTGAGTGGATTGCCTGAGCTCGCGGGTTCGAGACCTGCCTGGGCAGCGAGACCTCAGCTCTACAATAAATAAAAAAATCAGCCGGGCGTGGTAATGCATGCCTGTAATTCCGACTACTTGGAAGGCTGAGGCAGAAGGATCGCCGGAGCCCAGCTGGTCGAGGCTGTGGTGGCCGGGAGCGGCCACTGCACTCCAGTCTGGGTAACCGAGTGAGACTCCAACTCAAAAAAAACCAAAACAAACAAACAAACAAAAAGACAACAGGTGGGGAAAAACTCGCATGATTATCTCAACAGATGCAGAAAAAATGCTGGACAAAGTCCCACACCCTGTCAAAATAAAAAGCACTCAACAAACTAGAAATAGAAGGTAACGTCCTCAGCCTGATAAAGGGCATCTACAAGACCCTACAGCTAATGTCATTCTGAGAAAGACGCAAAGCCCTCCACGATCAGAACAAGACCAGATGTCTGTTCTCACCCCTCCATTCACTTGTGCAGTGCAAGTGCTGACCAGGCAATTAGGTGAGACAAGGACATAAAAGGCAGCAGACGATGAACAAACAAAACTGTGTCCAACTGTAAGGAACATGACCTTATATTCAGAAAACTCTAAAGAATCCACAAAAAATTACTGGCGCTATTAAGGTGTGCAGCGAGGTTGCAGGCCATTAGCACACAAAGAGATGCTCAGCATCTTAGTCATTATGTAGATGTAAATCCAAATCCCAAGATGCCACTTTTCACCTCCACTAGGGAGGCCTGTAATAGTTCAAAACCTAGCCCGGTGCAGTGGCTTATAATTCCAGCACTTTGGGAGGCCAAAGAGGGAGGATTGCCCAGGAATTTGAGACCATAAAATCGGTTGCATTTCTATGCACCAGCAAGGAACAATATAAAAATTAAAGAAAAGTTACATTCACGATGGCTCTAGAAGAATAAAGCACAACTCTGGTTCTGTTCATGCTCAATTTAATCAAAAAGAATAGAGTACTTAGGAATATACTTAACAAAAGAAAGGCATGAGCCGGGCTCAATGGCTCAGCCTGTAATCTCGCGTCTTTGGGAGGCTGAGGTGAGTGGATTGCCTGAACCCGCGGGTTCGAGACCCGCCTGGCCAACTTGGCGAGACCTCATCTCTACAATAAATCAAAATGAGCTGGGGGTGGTAGCGTGCGCCTGTAGTTCCAGCTACTTGGAAGGCTGAGGCGGAAGGATCGCCGGAGCCCAGCAGGTTGAGGCTGTGGTGGCCGGGAGCGGCCACTGCACTCCAGTCTGGGTGACAGAATGAGACTCCAACTCAGAAAAAAAAGAAAGGCATGACTTGTTCACTGAAAACTATACAACACTGTTGAAAGAATGACTGAATCCGTGTAATGCTATAAAAATTCCAACTGCCATTTTTGCAGAGGTGGAAAAGCTGGTCTCAAAATCACATGGAAATGCAGGGGACCCAGAACAACCAACACAATCCTGAAAAAGAACAAAGTTGGGCGGATCCATATCCAAACTTCCAAGCTTACTACAAAACTGCCATCAAGACCCTGCAATGCTGCATAAGGGGGAAAGAGTTGTCTTCAGCTGCTGAGACAACAGAATATCCAACTGTAGAAGTACATCTGAACGCCTATGTCACACCACACACAGAAACTAACGGGAATGATCTAGGCTCTAAAACTGTAAAACTGTTAGAAGAAAACAAAAGTGTAAGTCATGATCTTGGATTGGGCAATGGTTTCTCAAATATGACACCTAAAGCACAAGAAAAATATATAGTAATTGGGCTTCACCAAAATTAAAAACGTCCATGCATCAGAGGATACTGTCAAGAAAGTGAAAAGACACCCATAGAATGGGAGATAGTATTTGCAAATCATGTATCTGATAAGGATCTGGGATCTGGAATAAAGAACTCCTACAATTCAACAAAAGACAACCCAACTAAAAAATAAGCAAACATTTAGAATATATGACTTATACATTTTATGAAAGAAAATCCTGAAGAGACATTTCCCCAAAGAAGATATGCAAGTAGCCATTAGCACATGAAGAGAAGCTCAGCATCTCAGTCATTATGTAGATGTAAATCCAAACCCCAAGATGCCACTTTTTACCTCCATAATAGTCCAAAACCTAGCCAAGTGCAGTGGCCTATAATCCCAGCACTTTCAGAGGCCAAGGAGGGAGGATTGCCCAGGAATTTGAGACCAGCCTGGGCAACATAGCGATACCCATCTCTACCAAAAAAAAAACTTAGCCAGGTGTAGTCCCGGCTACTCAGGAGGCTGACCTGAGCCCAGGAGGTTGAGGCTGTGGTGAGCTGTCATCATGCCACTACCCTCTAGCCTGGCAACAGAGTGAGACCCCAACAACAAAAAAAAGTAAAAATCCAGATAATCATGTGTTGGTGAGGATGTGGGAAACTGGAGCTTTGGTCACTGCTGGCAGGAGTGTGTGACATTGTGGCCACTCTGGTGGCTCCTCAGGTACACACAGTTGCCATGGGACCTGGGACTCCACGGCAGGCACACACCCAGGAGAAAGAAAACACACCCCTACAAAACTGTGAGCATCAATGTTCACTGCAGCATTCCTTGTAACAGCCCAAACGTGGAAGAGCCTGGATTCCCACCAACTGACTATATAAACAAATCAGACCATTCATGCAACAGAGCATCTCCAGCCATTAAAAAGGAATGAAGTGCTGATCTGTGCTCCCTCTGAAAACAGGACACAAAAGGCCACACACTATGATCCCACACACAGCAGGAATTTCCAGAGGGCAGGGCAGTAGTTTCCAGGAGTTGGTGAAGAGAGGCTGGAGAGAGGGTGCTGGTTGGTGCCAGGTCTGTTGATTTATTTTATTTTTTGAAGCTTTCTGTTATGAATAATTGCTTTTCCTAGTTGTCCCAAATAAGATGCTGAAAGGTCTAAATAAGCTGTGTTACACTTTCAGGAAAATCACTAGATACCCCTGTATTAACAGGCGGTCACTTGGTAACAATTTTATAGACTTGAAAACGATTTATAGCCGGGCTCGGTGGCTCAGCCTATAATCCTGCACCTTGGGAGGCTAAAGTGAGTGAACTGCCTGAGCCCATGGGTTCGAGACCCGCCTGGGCAACTTGGTGAGACCTCATCTCTACAATAAATCAAAAAATTAGCCGGGCGTGGTAGCGCACGCCTGTAGTTCCAGCTACTTGGAAGGCTGAGGTGGAAGGATCGCTGGAGCCCAGCAGGTTGAGGCTGCGGTGGCCGGGAGCGGCCACTGCACTCCAGTCTGGGCGACAGAGTGAGACTCCAACTCAAAAAAAAAAAAAAAAAGAAAATGATTTATGTTGTGTACTTGTTTCTTTTCTTTCTGTTCCAGGCAGAAGAGCCTGTACTGCAGCCCTGCTTTCTTTCCTCCAAGTTTGTTTTTTTTGGCAACATTCCACTAAATGATTAGCTTTCCAAGAGCCGTGGGATAGTGACACCTCAGTATGACAGCAATTTTATTTGTTTTAAAACCAGAATCTGGTTGAATGCGACTTTTATTTAAGCCAAAATGTACGCTTTATGCATATTTGTAAAACACTGATGTCTTGGTGTCGCATTTCTTTTATTGTTTGATTATGCTCTTGTTAAAAGGTAAGGTTACAGTTCAAATAATGAAATTTCATGTTTCAATAAAAGTAAAACAAAAAAGCTTTTTTTTTGTTTTTACTGAAGGCTTCATGGAATAGAACTGACGCTGGAATGGTTACATCTTTTGGTTTTTATATCTACTTACTATAGCAGCACCAACTGGATGCAGTGCATTCATACAAAATACTTTAAAATCTAAAATCTTAAAAAAGAGCCAGGTACCACATCCGTAATCCCAGATACTGTAAGGCTGAGAAGGTAGAATCACTTAAGCCCAGGAATTTGAGGGTGTAGTGTGCAATAATGGTGCCACTGCATGCCAGCCTGGGTGACAGAGCCACATCTCATCTCAAACAAGCAAATAAAACAAGGGAACATATGTCAAAAGATCACATATCACCTGGTAGGGTGCTGTAAAGACTGGGTATGTAATATTTTTTAAAACTTTTATTTTAGGTCAGCATAAGTTTCCTTTAAAATGTTTCCCAGCCAGGCTCGGTGGCTCAGCCTGTAATCCCAGCACTTTGGGAGGCTGAGGTGAGTGGACTGCCTGAAACCGCGGGTTCGAGACCCGCCTGGGCAACTTGGCGAGACCTCATCTCTACAATAAATCAAAAATTAGCCGGGCATGGTAGCGCACGCCTGTAGTTCCAGCTACTTGGAAGGCTGAGGCGGAAGGATCGCTGGAACCCAGCAGGTCAAGCCTGCGGTGGCCGGGAGCGGCCACTGCACTCCATCCAGTCTGGGTGACAGAGTGAGACTCCAACTCAAAAAAAGAAATGTTTCCCATTTTTCAGTACTTATTTCCCATTTTTTTTTTCTTTCTAAGAGTCAGGCTTGAACTCCTAGGCTAAAGTGATCCTCCTGCCTCAGCCTCCCAAGAGACTGGGACTACAGATGTCTGCCACTGTACGCAGCAGCCATTCTTTTTGAGGTTTAACACAGCAAGCCTGTATATGTACAGAATATGTACATGTAGCACATGCACGCATAGTGTATGCACATACAGTATATGTACATGTAGCTTATGTATGCAGAATATGAGAGACCAGCCTCTGTAGAGGCTCATAAACAGGAGGTTGGCCCTGTCTCTGTTTCCCACACAAGGCAAAAGTTTGCACATCTCTCCAAGATGGTTCCTCTGGTCTGAGAGTTCTGCAGTTTCCAGAATAACCCACTCTTCCTTGCCTCCAGGACCCCATCCCAGGCCTAGCCTCAACCTCTCCTTGGGGCAGACCTTGGGGCAGGGGCAGCACAACAGTGAGTTGTCCCAGCTTCCATGCTCCCAGTGCTGGGGCTTCACTGCCTCTCCCAGGGCAGAATACAGAGCAGGAGGTTCCCATCATCCCCTATCTCCCTAAACCAATGTGGGGTCTAGGGCCTCCAGTGGAATTTAGAAGCCATTGCCGTTTCCAAGCTGAGCCAAGCTGAGCCTTCTCTCCTGGGCTGATGAGAATGTTCTGAAATTAGTAGTAATGGCACCATCTCACCAATATAATACCACTGGACTGGAGATTTTTAACAGAGCGATTTTTTTAAAAAAATGGGGTCTCACTCTGTCGCCCAAACTGGAGTGCAGTGGTTCAATCAGTGCTCACTGCAGCCTCGACTTCCTTAACTCAGGCAACCCTCCTGCCTCAGCCTCTTGAGAAGCTGTGACTACAGGTATGTACTACCATGCTGGCTAATTTTTCTGATTTTTTGGTACAGACGAGGTCTAGATGTGTTGCCTTGGCAGGTCTCGAACTCTTGGGCTCCAGCAATCATCTAACAGCGTGAATTTTATGGAAAGTTTATTATATCTCAAAACCAAAAAGATTCTTTTTTTTTTTTTTGAGTTGGAGTCTCAGTCTGTCGCCCAGGCTGGAGTGCAGTGGCCGCTCCCGGCCACCGCAGCCTCGACCTGCCGGGCTCCGGCGATCCTTCCGCCTCAGCCTTCCGAATAGCCGGAATTACAGGCGTGCGCTACCACGCCCGGCTGATTTTTTTGATTTATTGTAGAGATGAGGTCTCGCCTGCCCAGGCAGGTTTCGAACCCGCGGGCTCAGGCAATCCACTCACCTCAGCCTCCCAAAGGCGCGGAGTTACAGGCTGAGCCACCGAGCCCGGCTTAATGTTTGATTTATTGTAGAGATGAGGGCTCGTCAAGTTGCGCAGGCGGGTCTCGAACCCACGGGCTCAGGCAATCCACTCACCTCGGCCTCCCAAAGTGCTGGGATTACAGGCTGAGCTACCGAGCCCGGCCCAAAAAGATTCTTACTACAGGACGCTGTAATATCTGAAGTAGAAACACCCGAAATATCCAACAAGAGGGGACTCGCGAATCTGGGGACCCGGCAGTGTGTGGGGCGCCAACGCCGCGGGTGGGTCCCGCGACCACTCCCGCGTGGGCGTCGAGGGACGTGGGGCGAGGCAGGGCCAGGAGCGCAGTTGACACGGCGCGGCCCTCTGTGGACACCCCCGGAGGACGACGCGCCGAGTGCCCTCGCAGCCCACGAGCCCGCAGCCGGCGTGGAAAACGCTCCGTCCAGACAGACCCGGAGAGCGACACGCGCGGGTCGTCTCCCGAGTCCACGGCTGCGGACCGGACCTGACCAGCCGGTCCCGCGCCCACGGACCCGGCCCTACGCCAGCCCCGCCGGGCCCAACCGCTACCCCAGCCTGGCCCCGGGCCCGGCCCCGGTCTCACGTGCTTCTCATCCCCGCCCCTTCCCAGCCTTCCCCGACGCGCGCGTCCCCCCCGAGCGCGGCAGCAGGGCCACAGACTCACCCGTGCAGAGGGTGGTCCTGCCAGTGCCTCTCCGTTCGGCTCCGCCGCGCACCAGCGACGCGTGGAAAGACCCGGAAGAGCCAGCCGCAGCGTCAGCCAATCAGGGGCGATCGTGTTTGTATGATCGCATCCGATGGGGCGGTGGCTGCCGGCTCTTACTTTTTATTGGACGCAACTTCTGTCTGTCGACGTCAACAGAGGCGGGCTTACGGAGAAGGCGGGGAGTGGGCTTTTGGCTCCGCCCAGTCCTGTCGGGTCCGCACCGGCCGCGCTTGAGGGCTTGACCGGGTTGCGTTGGGGGCGGGACCAGGCGCTCAGCAGCGGGGCCAGGAGCACTTGAGGGCGGGGCCGGGCTCATGGGGGGCAGAGCTGGAAGCGCTCGGGGGCGGGACCGAGCGCTTGTAGGCGGGGTTGGACGAGCTGGGGGAGGAAAGGGGTGCTGGGGACAAGGCCCGGCTCGTCGAGGGCGGGGCCTGAATAGGTGGTGTGTGCAAGGTTGGAGAACGCAGGGCTGGGGTGCAGAGGTGGAGGGTGCAGGGCGGAGAGTGCACAACTGGAGGGCACGGGGCTGGGGTGTGCGGGGCTGCAGTGTGCCGGGCCCTGGAGGGCGCAGGGATCGGGCATGCAGGGGTGAAGGGAGCAGGGGTAGAGTGTGCAGGGTGGAGTCGGCCAAGTGAGGTGGGACTCTAAATCAGAACGCCTATATGCTGAGACATGAAGGCCTGTAAGGGAAGGCAGAGGGAAGTTCTGAGCTGAAGAAATAGCTAGATTGGCTGGAGGGGAGGAAAGGTGCCTTGGGCTGGACAAGCGGGGAACTGCGGGCTGTGGGAGACTCCGAAGGACTGAGGGCTGAGGTGACAGGACCTGGGCAACACTGCGTGCTGGGAAGGCAGCTGGGGCCTCCGGAGCAGTGGGGCGGTCACAGGCCAGGAGGAGAGCCGTCAGGGCCCTAGGGGACAGAGGTGACTGGGGGAGGGGGAAGGAAAGGAGGGGCAGCTGGAGACTCACTTCAGAAGGAGACCGCGGTTCCGCTGGGTTCTCTGCTGCAAATCCTGGTCACCAAGGAGTGCGGGAGGGTGGTGGACTGGGTTTGCAGAGGAATGAGTGGCTCGCAGCAACTATAGTGAGTAACCCTTAGGGGACTGGAACAGGCACCGGATCTGCCTTGGGGACCCGTAATACTCCGGGAGAAAGATTGAAGAGCATTTGCTCGTCAGTGCTCAGAGGAAGCCTGGCTTGGGGCAAGGCAGTTGGCATCTCAACCTCTGTTTCCCTACAGGTAAAGTGAGGACAAGGTGTCACTGCAGAGGGAAGTGGTGAGGAGAATAAGACTCCCCCAGGCCTGGTCCACAGCTCCTGTCAACTGACACCTCCGCTGTGGTGGCGACTTGGTGTCTACGCGGCGTGTATCGCCTTCAGATCGAAAACTAATCACATTTTTCATTTTACCTTCAGGATGTGAAGACAAGACAAATAAAACTTTTTATTGGAAACGGGATCTAGAATGAATCAACATTAAATTTGACTGCATAAAAGGAAACAGCGTTTTTCTAATTCTTGCCACGTGACAGATATTTTCTTAGCCCTTTCCATGCATTTATTTATTTATTTATTTTTTTGACTTGGAGTCTCACTCTGTCACCCAGACTGGAGTGCAGTGGCCGCTCCCGGCCACCGCAGCCTCGACCTACTGGGCTCCAGCGACCCTTCCGCCTCAGCCTTCCAAGTAGCTGGAACTACAGGCGTGCGCTACCGCGCCCGGCTGATTTTTTGATTTATTGTAGAGATGAGGTCTCGCTGCCCAGGCGGGTCTCGAACCCGCGGGCTCAGTCAATCCACTCACCTCAGCCTCCCAAAGGCGCGGGATTACAGGCTGAGCCACCAAGCCCGGCTTCGTTTATTCTTTTAATTACAACAACACTGTGAGGCAGGTACTGTTAATATCACCACTTTACTGCTGAGCTGAGTGACAGGTTAAATGACTTGTGTAAGGTTACACAACAGGTGAGCGGCAGAGCCAGGGTCCCAACCCAAGGAGTCAGTTCCAAATTTGGTCCTGGCAAGGCAAAAAAAAAATACCATAATAAGAGTTGAGAAACATCTGGGAGTTTGGTGTAAAATAGTTGAAACTCATATTACAGGACAGGACTAATTTTCCTAATATATAAAGTGCTCCTACCAATAAACTCTAGGAAAATGAGCAATGACTATAAACGAACAGCAAATAGAAAAGGATATAAACATGAAATGATGCTTAGCCCCCTTCAATATAAGGAATATGTAGTCAAAAGCGTGAGGTATGGTGGCTCATGCCTGTAATCCTAGCACTTTGGGAGGCAGAGGTGAGAGGATTGCCTGAGCCCAGGGATTCGAGACCAGCCTGGGCAACATGGTGAGATCCTGTCTCTACAATAAATCAAAAAATTAGCAGGTCATCATGGCATGCGTGTGCCTGTATTTTCAGCTACTTGGAAGGCTAAAGCAGAAGGATTGCCTGAGCACAGCAGGTAGAGGCTGCGGTAGCTGTGATCATGCCTACAACAGAGTGAGACTTTGATTAAAAAAAAAGAAAAAGAAAAAGAAAAAACACCTTTGGTATGTCCCTTTCCATAGTCAGATAGGCACAATCCAGCGAGAAAGGACATAACGTGGATTTAATATAACCAGTGAGCAGTCATTTTAACATTGACTAAACCTCATGTTTTTCTAGCAGTTCACTTAACTTACCCTCACTAGCCAAGAACAGAACTGGTTTCTCAAAGGTAGCTATTGATAATTGTTTTACAAGCCCCCTCCCTGGTTTGTTTTGTACTAATTAACTTTATTTATTTATTTATTTATTTATTTTTTGAGTTGGAGTCTTACTCCATCGCCCAGACTGGAGTGCAGTGGCCGCTCCCAGCCACCGCAGCCTCGACCTGCTGGGCTCCGGCGATCCTTCCGCCTCAGCCTTCCACGCCCAGCTCATTTTGATTTATTGTAGAGATGAGGTCTCGCAAAGTTGCCCAGGTGGGTATCGAACCTTCAGGCTCAGGCAATCCACTCGCCTCAGCCTCCTAAGGCACGGGATTACAGGCTGAGCCACCGAGCCTGGCAACTTTTTAATTTCATATTTGCCTCCACCCATAAGTCTCAAATTGACCTAATCCGCCCTTCATGACCTTTATGACACAGAGAGACCCCACCACCATGGCAGTAGTCATATGAGTAACCCACTTGCTTGCTATCTGTCACCTGATGTCAGTACCCACGCTGACCTGCCTTTTTGAGATGACACATGAGCAGACCACCACCCAATCATCTTAATGATCTCCCCCTCCGCCCCACCTCCCCAGGTGAAAGGGAGGTTTAATAAGATTCAACCGGAGTAGCCATTCACCTCCCATTGCTTTGTTAAACTCTGGTGTGTCCACATGGCTCTCCCGCTGCTGCCATGTTTCTTAGTTTTGGCCCTCTCCCCTGCCTTGGGGAGATGAATCTCTCTATCTCTCTCCTCTCTCTCTCTAATTTACTTTTTAAATAAACTATATTTTCTTTCTGTCTCTCTTTCTTTAAGAAAGCAGGATTTATTGAGAGGACAGAAAAGCTCCCACAGTGAGAGAGGAGCTGAGGGGTTACCCAAACTATATTTTTCAATCTAACTTCTGTGTAATTCTTTGCATCTTTCACGTGGCACTGGATCACACACAGCCTGCATTGGACCTGAGCTAACATTTTGGAAGTCCTACTGGGAGTGGGACTTAATACCACGTCTGTACCTATCTAGGAAGTCTGTTAACAATCAGTGAGATGCTCACACAACCTCTAAGGGGGACAATTTGACAATATGTCAATATTCATCCTAAAATACATCTACCTATGTACAAAGTGAATTAGGTACATGACAAAATTGTTTATAATGTAAAAGTTTCTTTACATTGCAAAAGTTTGGAAGCAATCTTTTTTTTTAGTTGGAGTCTCACTCTGTCCCCAGACTGGAGTGCAGTGGCATGCTCCTAGCCACCGCAGTCTCGACCTGCTGGGCTCCAGCAACCCATCCGCCTCAGCCTTCCAAGTAGCCAGAACTACAGGCACGTGCTACCACGCCCAGCTAATTTTTGATTTATTGTAGAGATGAGGTCTCACCAAGTTGCCCGGGTGGGTCTCAAACCCATGGGCTCAGGCAGTCCGCTTGTCTTGGCTTCCCAAAGTGTTGGGATTACAGGTTGAGCCACCGAGCCCGGCCTGGAAGCAACCTTAATGCCCATTAGTAGGAGACCAGAAAATCAAGGTCAGACCTGGGAGGGGGGTGGGGGGAGGGGGTGGTGTGCAATTTGGTACTATGCATAAGATGCAAAGAATTGCACAGAAACTAGATTGGAAGATATAGTTTACTTAGAAAGTAAATTAGAAAGGAGATTAACTCCCAAGGTAGGGGAGGGGGCCAAAGCTAAGAAAACGTGGCAGCCATAGCACAAAATGCACAATGGCTGACCAGTTGCTTAACAAAACAATGGTGGCGGCTGTTTGAAGTTAAATGCCCTTTAAACCTTCAACTTGATGAAGGCAGATCATTAAGGTGATTGGGTGGTGGTCTTTTCCATGTCATCACAGAGGGCAGGTAAGCACAAGTACTGAGGTCAGGTGATGGACAGCAGGCAGATGAGTGGGTTAGTCACATGATTGCTGTCATGGTGATGGGGTGTGTCATGAAGGTCAAGAAGTTAGCCTTAAATTTACAAAACAAACTGGGGAGGGAGTTGTAAAGTAATTATCAATAACTATCTCTGAGAAACTGGTCCTGTCCTTGGCTCTTGATTAGAGAGTAAATTAAAGTGAACTGCTAGAAAAACATGACAGATCCAGGCAATGTTAAAATGGCTGCTCATTGGTTATATTGACTCCATTGTATGTTCTTTCATTACACTTATTCAGTGGAATACTATGCAACTGTAAAAAAAAAAAAAAAAAAAAAAAGGTCGGGCACAGTGGCTAAAGCCCATAATCCCAGCACTTTGGGAGGCCAAGGGGAGAGGATTGCCTGAACGAAGGGGTTTGAGACCAGTCTGGGCAACTTGGCGAGACTTCATCTCTACAATAAATCAAAAAATTAGCAGGGTGTGATGGCGTGTGCCTGTAATTCCAGCTATTTGGAAGGCTAAGGCGGAAGGATCGCCCGAGCCCAGTAGGTCAAGGCTGTGGTGGTTGTGAGTGTGTCACTGCTCTCCAGCCTAGGGGACAAAGTGAGATTCCAACTCAGAAAAAAAAAAAAAAGCTCGTTATATACTGAAAAACAAACAAACAAACAAACCAAAAATAAACCAAAAACCTCTGAGATAGATTTTTGTTTAAAAAAAAGAGCAAGGTGCAGAACATCAT